TAAAATTATAGCCGACGGAGCTGAGGGTATCGTGATTGTACCTTTCTGGCCCACTCAAGCGTGGTTCCCTTTTTACAAATCGCTCTCTATAACACCTTACTGAAGTTTGGTGCCAATAATAATTTATTGATTTCCTTTTGCAGCAAGACCAACAGGACAAACTCGCTCTCATCAAAACTTACCCTGGTAGCAACTCTGTTATAATCATCAAAGCGCATACAAGAGAGAGAATATCAATAGAAATAGGTAATATTATGTTAAATGCAATTGCGCCAAGTACTCTGCTACAAAATGAAAAATCGATTTGTCTCCGGTGACATTATTGTCAAGAGCACGCGCTCTCTTTATACGATGTTCAGTTATCTTCAATATCTGTTCAAATATCTTCAATTTTTTTTTCGCTTTGCAATTGAATAAATTAGGTTCGTCTAGTACTCTCAATATTTATAGTCACGGTTTCTTTATTCATGAAAAATCAACTAGGCTCTGATCCAAATATTGGTAGATTTTTTAAGGAAGTATCAAGAGAAAAACCTAAAAGGCTGAAGTATTCACGTAATTGGGATCCATAAATCGTTTTCAATTATTTGTCACAGTGATTTCAAATGAAGAGCTCGACATTGATAAATTAACGAAAAAAGTAGTTACTTTACTCACTTTGGTAGCTGCTCAAAGAATGGCAACTTTGTTCTTCTTCAGAATATTAAATATTACAGTACGAAATGAAAGAGTACTCGTGATATATCTGATACTTTAAAAACATCTGCACGCATGAATTATATACCGCAAATAGGCATACCTTTCTTTCTTGAACATTCAAGTATATATATCCAGCAACAGCATTCACTAAGTGTATTAAGAAAACTGAGTGTCTCAAATCTAAAAACGAAGATAAATTGTTTCTCACGACTAAAAAGCCTTTTCATGTTGTTTCTATTGATTCCATTCGTAGATGAATTAAAGAAACATTGTTCGAAAGTGGTATAGACAGTAATATTTTCGCTGCACATAGCACCCGACATACCTCTACGTCGGTTGCGCCACGAAGAGATGCAAGTATTGAAGCTATTCGAAAGATAGCTTGGTGGTCTAATGCGTTATTGACATTTGTAGCTTTTATAATAAACTACTCACTAATAATGAGTCTTTAAATGTTTTTACGTCTAAAAACTAGTTTAAATAAAATATATTAATAAAATAAAATAGTGAGGCACATGTAATCTGTTTTCTACATGAATTCTGTTCCTAATATTTGTTCGGTTGCATGTATCAATGCTCATAAAAAGTTGTTTTTCCAAATTGAATTGGTGTAAAATTGTACACTTTAACCATCTACATATTGATCTATGAGAGTGAGGCAGTGAAGTACAATTGAACGATCGAGTGAACTTACCTGAAAGTGATACTCAAGCATAATTGTACGTGCTGCCTCATCCGAAATAGATCAAACCCAAAGATCATTGTTTTTTCTCATCCCTTATTTTCATACGTAATTTAACGTTATAAACTTTAAAATTAATGAGGTTGGCTGCCAAGCTGAGCTGAGGTATCTAGCAACGAGGTAAACACCGAATACCATTCTTTTTAGAACGTTATGACTTTAAAAACTGTGATCAAAACGCATGATGGGTAGCGATAGTACGTATTGATCTATTTCGGACGAGGAAGCTCGTACAATTATGATCGAGTATCACTTACAGGTATGTTCACTCGATCGTTCAATTTTACTATGGAACAAATTGCAAACTAAGTTAAACTGATGTAAAAACCCCGGTAGGGAAAAGTCGTTATTGTACAAATCTAAAATTAAGCGATAAAAAAATTCTGATTATGATATGGAAATGGATAAAGGTACACGTGCTCCAGACAAATTTTAAGTGGACAAAACAACTTGCCTGCGTGGTAAAAACGATCTGTCGAATTTTTCAACCCCCTCTTCGCTCACTGCCGCTTCAGTGTTAGGCCTTTACGAGCGCATAGCTCCTCGATGTTCCTATTCTCCTGTTGTATATGGACGCATGCTCTTACCTCATCAGCCTACTCGGCAAGGGTTAACCATGTTCTAACTCTTAGCGTATATGGGGGCCCGAAAGTCTGATAGTCATGTGCATACTGCGAGGCCTACAGCCTTCAGGACTATAACCTTGTTATAGTTGTAACTTGGCGATACTTTGACGATGACGCACAACACGCTTGTCCACGTCAATGGGTAGTATGTTGTACGATCGATTGCAATTGCAACTTACTAACAGTCATTCATACCTATATATACCTATTTTTTAAAGGTACATTACTATTATGTCGTTTATACACACCTATTTTTTAATTACAATACAGATTTCTTCGCATAATAACCCACTTACTACGCTTATAATTCTTATTTCTAATTTAAATTTAAAAATATTTATCTTCTAAATCGTAGCGCAACGACGCAAATTGGACAGCCAATCTTAAGAATAGCGGTATTCTTTTTACCATGCGGACATGACTAAACTCGAACGCTCATTTGAAAAGACTTTCTCCTTGTCACAATAACTGCGATTGTAAGGTATAAATCGCAATCATATGTGAGCTGCATCGTGTTCCTTAAAATTAAGTTTACGAGTTTTTCGGAGTACGATTATCACCGTGTCAGAGTCACCCGTCACTCAAATTATCGAGCTTCTCAAATTATCACGTTACTAGACGCGCCGTCTCTTCGATAAGGTGCCAGATTTTCGTTTTTACATTAAAGACTAAGATTCTTATTTCGAACAGCTCAAACGCAATGTCATGCACATTTTCATATAAGCGATTTCTTTAAATTTTAGAATGTTCTACATTGGTATCTTTGAATTGGATTTGATTCGACAAAAAATTTACTTTCTTCCATAAAAATTATGGTAGCTTATGTAATTGTTGGAAATTTATTTGATTTTCAAATTTGAAAATAAGAAAAGCCAGGTAAAATAAAAAAATTTAGACATATTTTATAATGGAACCAGATATTTTACAATGAAACAACTAACTAGAAATACAGTACGAGGCAGATATGAAAAATATATAGCGTACTAAAAAAAAAATTAGTGTCCCTAAATTTTGTTTCAAACAACTTTTTTTCAATTTTACATTAAAACAACTATGACTTGTTGAAAAAATTCCAATTCTGCGCGCATAAACGTGTCTTGATACTACAAGTGAAATGCGCGACAATACCTTTAATGCACATTGTTTTTAACCGCTTAAAATTGTAGGAAAAAATGCTTACTCCAGTCTATGAAAATTTCTTTGTCAATTTGAAAGATAAATAGGTAAAAGTCACAATTTTTACAATGAATTACACACGTAATAACAGTCGAAACAATATTTCAACGCAGATTTTATTTCCGTTGTAGGTTTTCAACAGCAAGCGCGAATAATACAACTTGATTATTTATTACTAACAACATAGAGGCAATTCCATTTTATTATTCATCTCATTGGTTCCCTCTCTTTTTCTATTCAGAATCACGATAATTTCAAAATATTTATAATTCATGTGAAAATAATAAGAAAATGAATTTATAGACTAAAAAGCTGAGCATGCTTGTGATACGTTTAGCTGTTACTTACATATGTGTTAAAAAATTTACACTTTATATTTCAATATTTTTTCAAATTCATTCTCTGAAGTATATCTAATATACATTATAATCCATTGACCTGACGACTGGGAATTTTCAAAGCATCCACATTTTAGATTTATTCAGTGTTTTATATTCGTTGAAATTTTTTTACCACGACGCGTCGTGCGGAAAAGACAACTTTGCCGCATGCTCGGTGAAAAATATGCACTTAAACTCGCTCTTTCCACAGGTAGTTCTGAAAATAACTATACCTAAAATTTCGGGAACGAGATTTTCATGTGTGCCTTTTCAGCCTCGCTTCACTCGAGCGTAAATCTCACACAAGACAAGAATCTACTTTCCTGCACTAGTTAGGTAATTTACTATTCTTAACGACGTGCGGAGAGTTCGGCTTTCTATGTTTCTTTCCCGTGCGAGAAGTTACCCGAAAGTACAAAAATATCCTTCAAAAAATATCGTACTGGAGATTGGTAAACGTAGTTTAATATTGCACTAAAAACATAACTTGAATTGTTCATTTCTTCAGTCTGGTGGCGTTCGTTTTTGTTGTCGATTTTTAATTCAATTATATAATTTTATGTCTTTGACAGGAAAAATGAAGGGTACAAAAGACAAAGCAGAACTCAAGAAGAGAATGCTTGCGTGTAACGGAGCACAAAAAAGGATACTTGTTTTAAATTATACCTCGCTTTTGAAAAATGACTCTCAGCTCGACAAGTACTTAAGAAAGAACAGACCAAAAGGACAGAGATTAAAAAACTTTCAGAAAACTTCTATGCTCGTACATACTACTTTTAAAGCTTGTACGCGCTTCTTAAGCTCTTAAGCACATTCAGAATAAAAAATGACCACCAGTTAAGGTTTTTTATTGTTACTCAGAATAAAAAGTTTAAGAGTTCCCATGGCAAATAGTATGAACTTCGAGTGTTCATTTATTAAACTTCAAATAAAAAGTTATTTAAGCATTCTTATTATAAAGTACTTTGAGTCGAAAGTTAAACTATAATTATTTACATATAAATACAAAAAGAATAAAAGATTATTATTTTATAAATTCACAACAGCGTATCTAATATTCGAAATTTTGAGGAGTATTCTAACTGAATAATTAATATTCATTTCGATGACATGATATGACATATAGAAATATTTGAGTAAAATGATAAAAAAGTAAAAATTGCTTATGATATTGGTATATTGAAATTTCGATGGAAAGCTTACAGAATGAGAACTTCATATTGTACAATGATTTTTTCAGTGTATAATATCGAAAAATAATCTAACTTAATTTTAATAGTTGAACGATGTAAATTTTGTAAAGTAATATAAACATTTAACCTATTATCATGTATTTTTTTAATTTAAAGATTTATTGAAAATACAATATGACTTTACCTTTTTCACAATCGATCTCAAAAAGAAAAACCCACTAATCACAGTATATAGTAAACGTTTCACTTTTCATAATCCTCAATGTTTTCACTCAATACAAAAAGTAGTCAAAACGGTAATTCCCATGATGTAGTATGCGGTTATGGGAAAAAAGAGAGCGCAAGCTCACCTATGTCCGATCCGGCGGCCACCCGCAAACTGACTGCCGAGCGCTCAAAACTCGAGTCGAGTCTGTGCGCCGCGCGCGCCTGCAACTCGCGAACTCGGCAAGCTTTTGCGCCGCCGCAACACGTGTGATGCGTGCTGCGCGCTGAAACCGTCGTCGATATTCATGGCGGCAGCTATAATCTGATTTTGGGAGAGGTAGGAAGGGGATGCTGAATTTGTTGATAAGAAAGGGTGTCACGGTGCTTTTTGACGAGGTGATATCTATAGACTACATAAATTTGCGAAAAAACTTTCTATCTGGCGGAAATAAGATGATAAATTCTATAAGGATATCTCATCAATACTTATAGCGTTTATCGATATCACGTAAAAGAAAGACATAATTGTCGAATGATATGTTAGTAGAGCAAGTTTCCATGCGTTTGATTGTATGTGTACAGCGTAATCAAAGTAAGACTTCCAATTTGCTGTAGACGGCTAACAAATGAAACTGATCAATTTTCCGATTACGCCCGTCTACTTCCTTTTACATAGAATATAGCATTACTGTGTTGCTCGTTTAACTAGTTCTGTAAATAGAGTGTACTAGTAATTTGTTAAGTGTCTAGCTAAAAGTTCAATCCTATTAATATAATTACGACATTCTATTTGTAAGATTCATTGACAAATAAAATATTGAAAAGTCAACAAATTAATCAATGGAGCTCACGTTTGACTGATTATTATAATAACACTTAACAAACATGTGACCTGAAACAAACTATTACAATCGTCCTGTTTATTGACAATTAAAATGTATAATTCGAATAATATTGGTCTTGATTGCATAATTTAACGTTAATATTGAAATGGTTTTCAGTGACTTCATAAACTGTTTGATTAAATATTTGTTATATTCTGAGAAGTATTGGACAGTGGTAGGATATAACATTTTGTTTATTTCGTGTGGTTAAAATTTATTTCAGTTTTTAAATAGGCAATATTTTCTCATATCGCATAATTTTTCCGATGAACAGCAATCGATTGTTAAGAACTGTCACTTTTTTATAATTACTTCCATATCCACCCGCTTTCAATAATTTTTATTCCTTCTGATATACATCGGAGCGAATCTATTGTAATTATTTCATGCTTTTCTTATATCATAAAATTTAATTCAAAAATTTTTAACCTATTCATTAAAGCTGTCGTTTTATTGGAAAATTATTACTTAAATAAAAGTATTAATAAAATGGAACTTATAAGGGAAATAATTAACAATATTACTAATAAAACAACTAAAGTAAGTCTTGATCAAACCTTCAATGATAAAAATTCGGAAATATCAATTTAGAGATAATAACAATCTTCTAAAAGAGAAAATAAAAATTATATCATTAATATTGATGCTAATAATGTTTTTAAAAAAACTTTCAAACAAGCACAATCAACAAATTTAATTAGCAAATTCAAGAGAATAACTAAATAAAAATTTAAAAGTAGGTAAAAACAATAATGCTAAAATAAGTAAAGATACAAATAAAAGAAATTAGAAGAGTATTTAAAAGAAAAATAAAAGACTCAAACAGTGATTTATTTATTTTTGACGAAGAAATTAATATTAAAGATATTAAATCCTTAAATTATCTATTTCTTGTCTGTAATAATATTGGTATTCTATACGTTACTATATGTAACTTAAATTCTAATCTTAACAAACTAGAAATTATGACAAAAGAATGCCGATTAAATCTATGATTATTGAATGTGTGGAAACATAGAATATGGAATATTTGAAATACAATCATCTTGATGAACATAATGTTTACTATAATAATAGTACTATAATAACTAAAAATTTTGTATAATAATGAAAAAATTATCAAACTAAAACTAAAAAAAATGGACAGTAATGAATGTATAACAACTTCGATAATGAATTATAAATATTATTTTTATTACTGTATTTATTTTACTAATTAATAAGTTTTGTTAATGCATTTAGTTTATAGTATTTAGGTTTTGTATACACATATTTGTACTATGCAATTTCTACAAACAAGAGGAAATTCTTTTGTAGACTAGTAGTGAACTGATCAATATTAGATAACCATTTGTATGTTGTAAAAATAATAAAAAAGTAAATAAGAAAAAATAAACTAATGTTATTTCATTAACTATTAGTAGTCGATTTTATTTAATATATTTTCAGCTGAATAAATATATTTTATGCAAAAGTACGCAGTCTCTTTTCCTGGAAAATAATAAAAGCTTAATAAGACTACTCTTTAACAGCTTTTAAAAAAAATTCATTCATTTCATTACTTTATCACTTAATGAGTGGACGCTTCAAAGTAAATTACTTAATAACGTCATTATTCACTTCGAACGAACTTTTCTCGCATTTTTATCTTCGTTTGAATTAAAAATTTAATTTTTCGCTGTGAATATGTGACAATGGACACTGGTATGAAAAAAAAAGTCGAAATATTAACGAGACATCAAATGAACTTTAAAAAAATACGTATGTATTATTCACGCTTCAATAAAGGTTGCTTTCAACGTGTTGGGCGCCTGGCACTTGACAGTTTTTGTTTGATTAATTGTATGACGCGCATATTCATTGCCTCTCGCAACATTAGAAGCCGCAGGCAGCATGGGTGACATCCGTTTCCTCTCGCACGTATGCACGCGCGTTCGAACGACCCCTGTCGAGATTTATCGTTTCGGCCCTTTTCATGAGCAGCGATTCTCTCTCTCCAACCTCGATATGTATATGAAATATACATCATATATTTGACGCGCCGGAGCTTTCGATGTGTGTGTAAATAATTTAAAACCAACCATGATTTGCTCGTGGCGAACGCAATTATAGGCTTGGCAGCAGCAGCAGCGGCTCTTTTTTGCTATATGATCAAATAATTTTTTGTGAAACTTATGGAAGCGCGCGCATGCCATGGTATACTTTTCATTGCGGTTTCACAAGGCTTTTCCGATAGTCCTGTTGAACAATGGTTTATAAAATCCGTTTGGTTTGATTACGATTTTTAGCTGTTGACGTATCATTTGTCATTGCGTTATTCACTTGTTAGTTTTTTAAATCAAACTGCTATTTATAAAAATAACAACTTAAAATTTCAAGAACTCAGTTTTATCTTATTCGACAGTAAAGATCTAAATAACGCATTTAGAACATTTTAAAATTAAAAATTTAACGTTATTTATACACAGCAGATAAGTATATAAAATATATCCTCATACATTACAATGTAACTCATTGATTGCAAGCGCCGGTGTAGGAAAAGTGGATAAGTCTAAGGGATAACGAACAAACAAAGAATGATTTGCCTGTCAGCTGCAGTAACAGATTTGCATAACAATGGATATACGTTCACTAGATGAACTATACGCTATCCATTACAAATAACAATCCCGTTTATTCAAGTTCAATAGTTTTTGTAGAAAATTCTTATTAATAGTAAATACTGATTTAGTAAAAAAACGTGAAATTATAAATCAAATGCACATGTAACAAATTTTTTAAATCTTTTCGAAGTTAGATAATAGAAAAGCAGATGAAGAAACTTGGAAGGTACAGTATGGAAATTTATCAGTTTTGCAGTAACGAATATTCCATTGAGATCGAGTTTCATTTCAATAACAATTCTGGTATCGGATGTTTGCTGTTAATTCCAAACATTGGAAATTTTTCAAACGAATTCCAGGATATCGAGAAAATAAATTATGTATATCATGTTATCTATGTTAACGTGATATAATTTTAAAGAGGTATTAAAAAATAATTATAATTCTATAAAAAGTTGGAAATATTGTGCAACAACTGTAATTAATATTATTACAAATTAAGGAGCCAAATGGAATTTTTACCTAAATATAAATTAACTTTTCTCTTCTTCATTATAGTATATACCAATATAGATTAGAATGTTAGTATGGCATGTAAAGTATTCCAATATATTTTTCAGAAATATAACGAGTTTTGTAATTATGTCATTAACTGAAAATAGTGAATTTATTTATTAATATCTTGAGCATCATGGACGACTAAACTTTTTTAAACGGTAAACTTGATATCATAAAATATAAATTTTCGTGCTTAAATTTATCTTAAATATGCACTTAACGGTTATTTTGATGAGCACGTATGCTCCGCACATGTTTTAAAGCCATCACATTAGAAATCACAGTATTAAACCCAAAGTTCAGTATTCGTAGTGTTCATACGATACAAGATATTGTTCTAAGAATAAAAAATGTAGAAAGTTCGTTAAGTTCCATGGATATAAATATGTAAAAAATAATATTGGCGCAACAATCACTAACCGTTTAAAATCTATAATGAATAAAAAAAATCTCCAAAAAAACCACATACACCATGAGATAAAAATAACGATAAATTTCATCCAAAACAATCTAGAGACTATGTTTACAAATACAAAAAAAAATTAATCGATAAATATATTGAATTCGGATTACGATACCAAGATGAGAAACTTACTCAATGCTTCAGCAACATATATGACAATTAGACATAATCCGCTAAAATTACTTCAAACAGGAATTTCTACAGTACTACGATTACTGAATGTTAACGAGTACTTAGATTACAAGTACAATAGCAAATTTCTGATTAAATCTTGTACAACCTTAGCAAAAGCTAATGGTTTAGTAAAAATAAATAAGCACTTTATTATAATAATATTAGAAATAATTACAAGATTCCATTTCCTGAAATCGTTAATGTTACAAATTGTTTTATATGATAATGCATATTTCTCCCTCAATAAAAAATTATTGTTATTACTATTATTTCAAATATAGACCCCTGTAGTCATTAAAAAACTTCTCCTCTCTCAATATTCCACTTTTGGAATGTTGAGAAAGAAGTTTTTTATACGCATTATGACTGGACCTACAGTTCAAGGTAGAATTCGAACCACTGATTTTTTTGTGTAAACAATTCTATAAAAAAAATTAGATAATCTGGAAAAGACTTGCTTATCCATACTTGAAACTAAA